TTTTTTGGTTTTCAGTTAATACAGTGTGAGCCAGTGCTATCTTTTGATCTAGCTAACATCACTGAACAAGGGCAGCACACTTTCTTGGTTTCCGCTGAGCCAAGCAATTGTTGTGAGGCTGGATCAAAGAGAGTGAAATTCAACACTCTGTCTGTTTTCCCTAATTGCTCTAAACATTTCCAATGGAAAGTTGCATGGCCACTTAGTTCCAAGAGGAAAACATCTACTAGCAGGCCTTGTCTTATGCCATGGTCGTCATTTGCTTCCTCTCCTGAAGAAGTGATTCTGAAGCATACAGGGCTGCTACCGCAGGTTACATATGCGATGCAGTATTTATCTCATGATCTGAATTCTTGGAGAGCATCCTTGAGGCATTTGCCAAGTGCGCGACTGAAACCATGTACTTATGAGAAGTTGGCTTGTTGGATCCCCATGGCGCTGAGAGATATGCCAGTCCTGAGTCAGCCGATAATGCAATTTATGGGTGATCTGAACCTGGGTGTTGTGGTATGGCGTCTACTTATCTGTTCTATGGCTGCACATCTATTTCAGAACATGCAGGAAATAGGCGCTCTAAGCGCAGGATGTTCGAACAAATTTTTTCTTCAGTTCATGCAAATTGGGCCATATGAACTAGGCTGTGCTACTGTTATTTACTTGCTTGAGGACTATTTGAGACAAGTTAATCTTGAGCTACGAGGGGAATGGCCACTGCTAGTAAAAGCTAATTTCCGCGAGCTGTGTTCATTCAGGCAGTTTGATTCAGATTCTACATTATGCTTGTTCCCTTGGAATCCAGGGGGTTATTTGTTCAGAATAACCACAGGGTTTCTTACTTCTAGTAGCGGTTCACAATGGCATGTTATGTGTATCATTGCGGAGTCCAGCCAGCGCTTCTCTCAGATTGCAAAAAGTGATTGCTTGTTTCCAATTTGTCTGAAGGTGATGATGCGGTGCTTGGTTCTACTATCTTCTGCTGACATTGATTATGAGCTGCGGCATCGACCAGATCAAACAAAAGATCGTGGTGTGCTTGC